TTTCTTGTTACAAGATCTATTATTTATTATTTATTCTTAATGTATACTAGATTATATCAAATTTTATCTTTATATTGGCTTGTTGCCATTAATTCAATTCTAAAAATATTGAATCAAAGACTAATGTATCAAGACTCTATTAATGTTGCTATTGTATATATAGTATATAATTATATTTCTAATTATGCAAAAATAAAAAAAGTTGAAATAAAAAAACTGAAAGTAATATCTATTGTTTGAAAATAAAATTTTATAGAAGTTATCTTTCAATATAATTATTTGCAATTGAATTACATTAGTCAAAATAATATTATTTGGTATACTGCCACTTGTCAAATATTCGAATATACAACTATTTAATATAATACCACTTAATAACAATTCAGCATATATAGAATTATAAAATAATATTTATTTTTATTTAATTTGCTAATACTTGTCAATTATTTAACATATTTATATTTGTAAATTAATTATAATAATTGTAAAAAAAAAAAAATTAATTTAAATACAAATTGTTTTATGTTCAATTATAATCAAATTTTAATGATTTTAAATATTATACTTGTGGTTTAGTGAAATAACAGTTAAATATTTATAAAAATTATACCAATTTGATATTTTATATCTAAATAAAATAAATTGGCCAAAAATATTATAAATAGAAATTATATATTTGTATTTAATTGAATAAAATTCAATATTTCATAATTCAATATTTGTTTCATTTTCTGAATCAAATAAAATCTTATATCTATTAAATTAATTGATTTAAACCATTGAATAAAAGCCAATTTATAGTATATAATATTATTCAAAAAATTAACTAAATATATATAAAAAAATTGAACTTATTCTGAATATAAATCGACACTTCTATTATGATTCACAAATTGGGCTAACATAAATAATCACTTTACATTTTGTGAAAATATAAGAGAATCAAAAATTTCACTTCCTATTTAATATCTTTTATATTGATTTGCTCTATTCTAAATAACTATTAAATTATTAATATTATTTGTAAATGGTTTTCAAAAGTTTATCGTTTCATATAAAGTCTTATAATATTTAATTAATAGATTCAATATTTTAGCAGATAATATTAAATTTAAATTCTTTGAATATAATAATTCATCCAGAATTTTTCTAATTTATTGGTAACTGTTTTATGAATATTATATATATTGTTTAAAAATCAATATAATTCATTAATCAAAAATTGATCCAGTTTAGAAATTAAGTCAATATTTGATCTATTATTCAGAAATTCAAATTTTATTTTATTTAAATAGGTTAATGTCAAATATAAAATTCAATAATCATTCATTGATCTTTATATTAATTCCAGTTCAATTTTTTGATAACTATTTGGCAAAATACCTATATTAAAGTTTATTAATGAATATATTAAAAACTTATTAAGTATACTATTTATTTTTTCAAATGTAAAGTATCAAAAAATATATAATGGTTTATAATCATATACAGTAATGGCAATAAAAACTGACAATTTTATTTTTTTTAGAAATTGCAATATCAGATCTTTTTTTCTGTTATGCCAATATCAAAATTGGTTAGAGGTAGGTTCATTGCATCTTCTAGAATAAAAAAAAAGATCTTTTAGTATCACAAACATAACACATGGCTTTGTTTGCAGAACATCGTCTCTTCATTAAAAGCCTTTGGAACTGTGGATATAGAGAAGTCAAAAAACTCAAAAAAATTACTGGATTTCCTAGCAAAACACTTTATAAATAAACTGCCCAGCTTTCTAGAACTGGAGATTTGAGGTAGGGCAGGTATCCCGGTCATCCTCGACTTCTTAGCTTTGCACAAAGAAAACATTTTAGGAAGATCGCCATGAAAGATAGAATTGCAACAAGCAATATAAAGATAAAATTTGATATAATCTAGTATACATTAAGAATAAATAATAAATAATAGATCTTGTAACAAGAAA